TGAGAATTGTTTCCTAAAGGAAATAAGGAAACTGACTCATGGTAACCTCATTTGCAAGTAGGAAAACTGCACGTGCAAAAGACCCAAACAAAACAAAATTGCTGAGTGCGTAAAATACTGTGCCACTCACAGAAAGCTTGTTTGTCTAAAGAAAAACACTGGATGAGGTTTGTTCAATTTGATCAAATAAATTCAAGTGACCTGTGCTAAAGTAGTGACTACATCAACTGGAAATGTAATGGGGTACTCTAATTTCTGGTGGTGCAATAGAAAGCAGTTTGTCAGGTTGTACTATGTTTTTGAAGTGTCTTCCCACTCTGCTTTCAGTGATAATCCTGCTGGCTGGTCCCCACTGCAATCCACATTGCTCCCCTTAAATCATTTGAGATGGAAAATAACTCCTCCCTTTTCCCAGGGACAGAAGGTGCTGCTGCAGTGCAAGGTACAGGGTGGAATCTTTTCTTCATCTTTCAACCACTCAATTAGATCTTAAATAACCGAAATCATGCATGGCATATAGTCCACTGCATGGATATACCCCAGCCTCTTTGGCGGATCTACACTAAAAAAATTGCATACCCACTTTCCAACAGTGCAGCTACTCAGATCAGAAATTCATGACAATGGTGAAAATGTTTGTGCTTAATCTGCACTAGAGTTTACACTGCTCCTAACCCTAGTGTAGGAGCTGCAACAAGGCTGGAAATGGGTACAAATTCTGCTGAATAGGCAAAGACAAAATGTGTTCCTTTAAAATTACACTAACATGCCAATCCTTCTCCCCAGATCTGACTCAACCCCTTGATCTCAGACCTCCTGTTCGGTGTGTCTACACTCACACACTTTGTAGCTATAAAGCACCACAAGTGCAGCTTCAGTGGAAGCTGTAACAGACAGGGACTAGGTTTGAGGAATGTGGTAAAGATGCCCGAGTCCCATCTATACTATAGTTTCCATGACTGTTTACACTGGTGAAGCTGCACAGGCAGTGAATTACCTCTCAAAAGTTTGCAAATATAAATGCAGTCTTCAAGGGCTAAAGTAACAGCAATATTTCTATTTACACAGCCCCAAAGGTGTGCTAGTGATTTCAGTGCTGAAAATGAGAAGATATGAGGGACCTACCAATTAACAAGTAAGAACAGGTAAAAAGATCCATAATTCAAATTGAGTGAACTCTTTCAATATGCCTATATCCAACAATCAATGTTGCATATCAAAGAAATTCCAATCAGGTTTTAAGTCAGAAAAGTACAAGATTCATAAGCAGATAAGCAACCCTTTTAAAAATACTCTTAGCAAAATAGTTTTTGTTCTCCAAATGTATTACTTCCATATATTCCACTGAGAGATCATGTGCTCTGCACTGTGCGACAGGAACTCATTTCAGAGAATCTCACCACAGGGAAGGCATGTGCATGTGCCTCTGTTCATGGATTTTAGAACCAACATTGTAAGTCCCCAACTGTCCCTCAGTTCTTCTCTAACTTCAGGCATATACTTTAACTCTCCAAAGTAGAGGAGAGAAAGGAAAATCATCTGAATCTGCAGAGGCAATACATTTGGAGAACAACTTGAGTCAGTAAACAACCTCTTCTTCATGACACTGTTTCTGCAAATACTCACAGTTAGACTAGAAAATAGTGGCAAGCCTCAGTAAGAAGGCAGAGTATGAATAACTGAAATGATAGTGAAAACACTGCTCTCCTGAACGGCAACCTAGTCTGATCTGACTCAGTATTGGGAAACAAGAGAGAATATGCTTTGTGAAGGCATGAATAAAACTTCAGATAGCAGCATTGCAAATCTCAACAATCAGCACATGACAGATACTGCAGAAGTTATTACTCCCCTGCAGGTCCTTCAGCATACTGTATCTGAAAGCAGCGACCCATTACTGCCTCTAATGATAAGTTCTTAAATTAACAGGTGCAGAAGAAGATGCCTTCCTCACAAACTGGTCTTTTTGGAAGATATCAACACAACCAAAGGAAGTGGGTTGGATGCTAGCGGGCAAAGTCAGTCAGGCTCCCAGTTTTCCACTGCAAGAGAAGCTGGCAGTGACAGGCTTAAACACCCAAGAACAGTAATAGCCAAAGGCAGAAGATGGGCCTAGAAAAGCAATCACAATGGAAAGGGAACTTCAGAAATTGTAAACCCAAAAGGATAACTGCTAGCATACACAGCCTTTCCCTTCTGGAGCCTCCCCCAGATCCATGTTCCCATTTAATATGACGTAAAGGCAGCTCTGAGAAAAGCATGTCTATTCCAGGGATCTCAGCACAGTGATTATATGACCCATCAACCTTGGACTCATAGGACCAGACGCAAAGATTCTGCATAAGTGAACATCTTCACTCTCCCACATGCAAGGGGAAGGCCATATGGCTCCTGGAAAGAGGAGAGGGCAAAGGACTGTTTTGTTTACTTTGCAAATTATTGTTGCCCTGGAAGGGAAATACTGACTTGAAGGAGGGGAGGGGAAATCCCTAAACTACCCAAGCATGAAAGAAAACTGAGGAACTGATGTTTGTCATCTAAGCCATGGCCACACCTAGCAAAGAGGTAGTAATCTGAAATGCTTACAGTCACTATGCTTCCTTTTCTTAGAAGCAGACACAGCACCCCAAATTCTTAGAGGACCTGGCTGTTCTACTCACAAGCAAGAACCCAAACTCTCTCTAATGGATGCAATAACTTCTACAGCTGGGCTCAAACCCAAAGAGCCATGTAGCACCATCCAACTATTGAGACTTGTTAGATCTGTGGAAGCAGAGAAAGAACTGACAGGAAGGGGATTGCAATGCATGACAGTTTGTTTGCAAGAGTCAGGCTAACTGTAACCCTAATAACGAGATTTGTAGAAGCGAGGAATGTGTGAGGCGAGTGGGAAAGAACTGTTTGAGAAGTTGTTGCGACCTTGTGTAGATAATATGAAATGTAGACTAAGAGTCTACATTAGAGAGCAAAACAAGATATCAGAATGACCTATGTATAAACAAAATGCAGCTGTTGCTCATTACAACCCAAATATATGGTTTCCGCCTTCAGCACCCCCACTATAAAAATTGTTCTGGCACCCCTGAAAAGGTGTGCTCATTCTGTAGAGTAATAATTAGTTTGTATACGTAAAAATGAAGAGTAGCAAGGACTCTAGTACATAATTTAAGTTGAAATGGAAAACCAGAGTTGAAACCATGAAACTCTGACAGTTTGCAAGCAACTTTTGACAAATGAGGTGTATTTAGGATTGGCAAACTCCCTGGAGAAAAACTGCAGAGCTAGAAATCTACAAAAAAAAAAAACAATCTTATATCAGGAATTAGGATGGGGAGAAAGGACAAATTTGCCAGACACTAACACAAGGACTAAGCCTAGTAACCAGAGGCTGACGGCATATACGAAAGGAGAAATGCTTCATCAATTAGGTCTAAAGCTGTACTCTGCTGAAGCCACTCCTTCAGCTCCCAGTTACTGAGAAGAGCAAGTATGGTGGATTCCCACACCAAGATGCTATGTCTGGATCCAGCCTCTGGCTAGTATGTGTCAGATCTGAAGCCCTCCCATTCCAGCTTTGGCTGCTGAAAAGGGAAACTGGTCTTCTTTCCTTCACCCCAAAGCCTCCTGACTGACGACAATAGGGAAAGTGACTCTATTCCCAGCTTCAATGTTTCAGGGCCTTCTCCCCACCGTGAACAGGACCAATGCCTACCTTGGATTCTGTTCACAAAGTTCGTAAGTAGTGGCAGAGTGAGATGAACATTAGCAGTTTCACTGCTGCCCTGTATACATCACTGCATATGCTTAGGATAACTTCAGCCTTTTACCCCAGCGTCAAAACTTTCCTTTGTCTACAGTGTGTCCTAATGTGCAATGCATTAGAAAGGAAACCCTAACCTACATTCAATAAATCACTGTGTCAAGATCCACTAAATCAAATATAGATGAGTAGAAATGGAAACTACTTAGTGGTTGCTTTTGAAAAGAAATACTGTGAAAATAGAATTAGAATCCAACTTCCAAGTCATAATTAGAAGACATTGTACCATTTTCCAGGCCAATGGGGGCTGCGGGAAGCGGCGCGGGCCGGGCCACCTCTTCCTGCAGCCCCCATTGGCCTGGAACGGCAAGCCCCAGCAAGTGGGAGCTGCGATCGGCCAAACCTGCGGACACTGTAGGTAAACAAACCGGCCTGGCCCGCCAGCGGCTTTCCGTGGCAGGCCATGTGGCAAAGTTTGCCAATCCTGGATATAGAGGATATATTGTATCTGTAAGACATTATATTATGGAGAATAGGTGAATTACGGAATAAAACTTAGGGTACTTTAAAAAAAAATCACACAAATGAGCACCCAATCCTCCAAATTCAAGATTTTTTTTTCAATTTTGTACTTCTGTTTTACAGGAGAATTGTAGGAATTGATGCAATTTTAGTACGGCTAGGAAACAATGAGTGATAAAACTTAGTTAGAGAGAAAAGTACAAATATTAGCATGGCTAAATTGCAACATCTCTATTTGCAAACAGATAACAAAGCTACTTCACATTGAAGACAGATTAATTAGTGGCTCAGTACAACATTTTCCAAACACATTTCAAGTTATTAAAGACTATAGCATAAGACTGACTAAGAACATGCTAAGTATTAATGATTCCTATTATTATTCTTTAAATACGTCAAGGAGCATACACCTAGTCAGAATCTTTGCAAAATATGCCAGTGGCTTGGATTAGGTGCTGGTTTTAAATAAGATTGCTATTAAGTTAAAAGAAACCAATACACAGTATGCTCATTCACAATATTTGTGTTTAAGACTAGATTTAAGTATTTATGATAAATTATTCAATTGGTCTCCCCTTCTAGATTTAGGGGAAATATACATGGCACATGAAGGGACATGAGTAACCAGGGACTTTACCTACAATGTTCACAAGTAGTAAATCTATCCCTAAAATATGAAGTTTTGGCAATACAGCAATATAGTATATATTTGACTTACCACCGCCACAGCATCACTAGAAAGAACAGCATTAATATCCAGCACTGTATAGTAAGCTATGTTGGTCAAAATATAGATAACCGTCACAATGGGCATAGAAACTGCAATAGCCAGTGGCAGATTCCTGATGAGACAAAAATAGCAAATAGGCTTGGGAAAATTCTAAGTTTTTAAAAAAAGATTCCAACAGATATTAATATTTATTTTTAAGCATTTTTAAACTGATTATCTATTTACATGTCTACAGTTGTGCAAAATTATGGGTTAATTTTTTTCCCCTATTATAAAATAGATTTAAATTTTCACAGCTGCAGAAAATTATGGGGGAAAATCAGACAATAATTACACTAAAAACAGATTCAAAAAGTTAACGCTTTATCACCGTTAAAACACAAACTGTCAACATCACATGTCAAAGTAATATCCTTAAATGAAACTCTAATAAGGTCTAAGTAGCATTTTTCTTACTTTGCCTATCTGTCAATGTCAGATATCAATGGAAATATCTAAGTTATTTCCAGCTAGAATAAGCAGAAACATTTATCAAATGTAATCAAACTGAATGAAAGCTCTTCTTCTTTCAAAAATCTCCCGTCAAAACAAAACAAAGTTTTGAAAAAATTGTCACTCGTTCAGGGTGGCAAAGCCAGCAAACTGGATCAACTCTTAGAGAGTGACAAACTCCAAGTCAGCCTCTTGCATTTGTTGGATTTAATACTTTAAAGAGTCATTTACCTTTTAAAAAATAATTTAGCATAGAGTAAGGATTTTTTCATTACTGACTAAATGACACTAAAAAGGGATTCAACACCATTACGATATCATCACTATCAAAGTCAAATTGCTGTGGCAAAATGTCAGTGCAATACAAAAGTAATTAAAAACTCTTTAACTAATAGACCATGATTCTTGGGACTGTTCTCCTAGATAGTGACTAATGCAACGCTCATGGTTCAAAGATCTGAGCATCGTACTGGTTAGTGGCTGAGATCCATCCAGAGAGCAATTACTTACTTCAAATACCAGTTTAAGCTACAGTTTAATGATGTGAAACAAGAACAAAAGGAAAGTGCCAGCTCCACAGAGAAGAAAGGAGAGAAAATGGGGAATATATTATAACTACATTCTTCTCAGCAATAGCAATAATTTTCATTGCACCAAAGATTAACCAATATAATTATATCCCACCACACTCTTTGAGAACAAGGAACACAAGGATCATTCCTGAAATATATATTACTAATAGACATTTAGTAACAATCTAGTACCCCAGTGTGATGGGGCGGCTGAAGAAGGGTTAAAGCAGCCTTGCGGAGGCTGCGCAGAACCCAGCCAATTAGAAGAGGGCTTTTTGAGCCAGCCAATAGGGAGAAGGCTTAGTGGAGCAGCCAATCAGGGTCAGGCTGGCCCATATAAGAAGGGCTGCTGAGCAGAACAGAGGCAGTCTCTGCTGGGAGGGCAAGGGAGGAGGGCTGGCTGCCCTGTAGGAGGATTGAGAGAGAGAGCACCATGGACAGAGCAATGCTGGGCATGTCAGGGGAGCAAGAGGGAGCTCCAACCTGATGGCTGCCAGACTGAGGCCCTGATACAAGGGCAGAGAAGGTGCTAGGGCTGCGGAGAAGTGGCCCAGGGAAACAGATGGTGGAGTAGGAGGAGGGGCAGTACATGGTTGCTGGCTATAGAGTCCCTGGTCCGGGACCCGGAGTAGCGGGTGGGCCTGGGTCCTCCTCCTCTTGCCACCAAGGGAAGTGGCCAGTGCATGCAACGCAGTTTGCCACTGAGTTGAGTGGCTAGACCAGAGACTGCAGTTTGCCACCGAGGCGAGTGGCTGGACTGAGCAGGTCCCCCAACACAGGGGAGAAAACTGAGTGGGGCACAGCCGGAGGGCTGTGTCCAGAAGGACACGCCGCGGGCCGGGGAGCAACATGGGTCCTAGAGGTGGAGGCGAGAATGACAACAGACGAGACACTACTAGATGAGGGCGTGCTGGTGAAACGAGGGCTAATTCCCAGGACGGCCAGCAGGAGGCACTTTGGTGGTGAGGCCTGCCCCATTACACCCAGGCAGGAAATGGAAAACAGAGAGAGAGATGCCTTTAAAAAAAAAATTGAACACAAAACTACAGAGGAGTATTCATCTTCTCCCATTAATCCCCTAAAAACTCTATGAATGCAGAAGGTGGAAGAATCAGGGTATTTTCAAAACTAGAAAGAACCTTCAAGTCCAAGCCTCAATGTCTGATACAACTTTAAGCCCAAGTTCTTTGACAAGAGAATGTAAAATACTGTATGTGGCTTCCCTGTGAGTATCCTAAATATTAATCAGAGGTTGCATACTCTCTCTCTCTCACATGACTGCCTTCCTACACCTTGACCTGAAATTCACAAGGGCATGGCTAAAAGGGAATGCTAGAATAGGAAAAATTATCTGCTTACCTGAAAATTTCCATTGAGCAAGTAATAAGGTCCACAGATCCATTACCATGAGTACTTCAGCCTGCGTTCAGACCTGTCATTCCCTAGCATCAGATGAATGCACCACCTCCTGAAATTCCCTCCAGTTGAGAAATTCCACAGCCAAGATAATTCAAAGCTACTTTTTTAGAGATTGTGTTAAATATACTTTGAGGAAATACACAAATTTCTCCTACGGCAGTGCATGGTATATTCTACCTAATCACAACAAACCCAAATACTGGGCTGTCAGTTTCCATCTGTATTGTGGATGATCCATTTGTCTCCAGAGTGAGCTGAATCTGTGGATCTTATTACACAGAAAGATCATTTTCAGCTAAGCACAGACACATTTTTCTATTCTTCATGCTAAGGTCTACAAATTAGAGCTGTTGATTAATCGCAGTTAACTCACGCAATTAACTAAAAAAAACTAATCACAATTAAAAAAATTAATCGCAATTAATCGCAGTTTTAATCGCACTGTTAAACAATAGAATACCAATTGAAATGTATTATATTTTGGATGTTTTTCTTCATTTTCATATATATTGATTTCAATTACAACACAGAATACAAGGTGTATATCTTTTATTACAAATATTTGCACTGTAAAAATTATAAACAAAAGAAATAGTATTTTTCAATTCACCTCATACAAGTACTGTAGTACAATCTTTGTCGTGAAAGTGCAACTTACAAATGTATATTTTTTTGTTACATAACTGCACTCAAAAACAAAACAATGTAAAACTTCAGAGCCCACAAGTCCAGTCAGTCCTACTTCTTGTTCAGCCAATCGCTAAGACAAACAAGTTTGTTTACATTTACAGGAGATAATGCTGCCTGCTTCTTATTTACAATGTCACCAGAAAGTGAGAACAGGTATTTGCATGGCACTTTTGTAGCCAGCATTGCAAGGTATTTAAGTGCCAGATTAGCTAAACATTCATATGCCCCTTCATGCTTCGGCCACCATTTCAGAGGACATGCTTCCATGTTGATGATGCTCTTTAAAAAAAAAATGCATTAATTAAATTTGTGACTGAACTCCTTGGGGAAGAATTTTATGTTCCCTGCTCTGTTTTACCTGCATTGTGCCATATATTTCATGTTATAGCAGTCTGGGATTATGACCCAGCACATGTTGTTCATTTTAAAGAACAGTTTCACTGCAGATTTTACAAAACGCAAAGAAGGTACCAATGTGAGATTTCTAAGATGAACTGTCCCAGTCTTTAATCTCTCCTCATACAGAAGCTGTTTCATATCTGGCAAGCAATGGAAAAGTTGGCCAGACAGTGAGGGACCCTGATAAGCTTTACAAGATATCATTCCCCACCTCATGCTCCAAGTCGTGACACAGAGGCTGCAGGTCACTTTATTTACTGTTTCCAGCTGCAGAGAAGCTGATCACCAGCCCACCAAACTGACTTACCATGAATGAGATATTTCTGCGTGTAGGAGCCACTCTGCTAATCCAACTTTGCCAAATGTGTTTTGATGTTCATCTCCCCTTTAGTGGGTAGTACACACAGACAGAAGACTCCACCCAGGATGGGAGAATCTCTCTCCAGAGTAGGGTTGATTGTGTTCTTCCCAGTTATCAATCAGAGATGTTGATTGACACGACCTCTAAACAGATCTGTTCCAATGGAAGGAGCAGTGCTCTGAGACATCAGTGAATTATGATGTTTCAGCTGGTGGATGCTTTGTCTCTTTCTAGTACCTGTTCTCTGAACTAAATCAGGGAATGGTACAAAAAACACTCCAAAACCAACAACCCTAATTCTCTGCATTCACCAGTTGTGGGAGCAAATAATATACAACGGGAAGTAGATCTCTAGCTCTCATGCTCATCCCATGAATGAGATAGGGCAAGATGCAGGAGGAGGACCCAGAATTAGTGAATAGGTATCATATCCACTATGGATTTTTGATCTGTGTTACCACTTGTTTTCCATTATGGCAATCATCTATTACAAGTATTCTGAGATGAGACCTTTTCCCTGATGCTATTTATCATCTGTCCGAGCCTATAACTGACTTTGTTAGTGTCGTGCATTTCTTGAATCCAAGATACTCCAGAAACCGTACCACTCTGTTTGTTTCAGCTTCCTCTCTCTACAGAACCCCAATCAGAAAAACAGTCCAGAAAGAGAAGCAAATTTCCTTTTTCCCTAAAGCCTATATTATATCCTGGAGAGACCCTGAGAACACATATAAGACGGTAATGGGTGAAGTTGGGGAAAGAAAAAAGGCTGCCATCCATCTGCAAAACATAGGAACTGTCCAAGGACCTAAAATGGGACTGTCCTCAAAGATGTTAGTCTTATTTGTCTCTCCTCCCCAACATGGACTCCTTCTGGGTGTCTCAAGAGAGATCTGGGAGTCAACAATGGGCTCCCATAAGCTCGACCCCTTTATTGCATGGGATCCACGTGGGGCAGATGGGTCTCTTCCCCTGGAGGTCTCAGCATAGGATATGAATAAGGGTCCCTGGGGGGGATGTTATAGAGGTGGCAGCAGAGGCTGAGAGTTGGGCCCAAATGCCCCTTACTGCATTCTGGTATTGGTAGGGTCCATGCTGTGTCCAGTACCCTCCACCTGACCTGAGGGGTAGGAGAGATTCAGCTCTGCAGTCAGAGGTATGGCTGCCAGTGTGATCTATATAGGGATTTAGGCATGATCCTCCATTTGGCATGCTGTCTTTCTGGCTTCACTGCCACTGGAGCCTGTTCTTTTCCATTTCTATGTGCCTCCTTTCCTGCCAGGAGAGGGGGCTGAGGCAATCCAGCCTGGCCTTGGCTATATTTTGCCCAGCAGTTAGCCTCTCTAATCCAACCTGGCTCCTTTCCTGCCCAGGGAAAGTTAATAGCGGTGACCTTGCCTGGGCTAAGCTGCGAAGGACGTTGCATTCTGCCCACAGAACTGGACCAAGCTCCCCAGTGAGATAGGCCTTTCATTTTGCCTTTTCCTCAGCTTAGCTCTGCTGCAGGGGCACCAGCCACTGCAAACACCTCAGAAGGGGAAGCAGAGCTGAGGGGACTTTCCCCCAAAATCAAATGCAGTTCTAGGACATGGCTGGGAATTAGACAGACACAGAGTGACAGAGATTCAAACAATTCAAAATTAAGAATTTTCATCAGAAAAGCTCTGCAGCCAGGTGGTCTGGTTGAACCTGCCCAGTACCATGGAAGCGGGGGTGGGGGTGGGGGGGAGAAATGGAGGAAGGACATTCTCCTGTTGCCAGTGACCGAGAGGTCTGGTTCTGCCCCCTAACTGCAAGCAGCCTGAAGTACCCATTGTAATGGATCTGTGGACCTTAGCATGAAGAAGAAATGCAGACATGTCACCTAATGAAACAAAAAAGCTGAAATGGCTCTTCAAGGGCATTAATCTTCAAGAAAAAAAAAGCCCAGGGACCTTTTCACATGTAATTGTGGACTAGAACTTTCACAGGACAAGCATGAGACAGGATGAGTATGGAAAAATTCTACCATACTCTGAAAGGAACTTCAGGAGACCAAAACACCTCCTTATTCTTTTGAGCATTAGTATAATAATATGGGCAATTAGAATTTGAAGCTTGCTTTATGAGTGAGAGTCACTGCCAGGAATAAAGCCTGTTGCATTAGAAACTTGAGCTTATGAATAACAAATAGATGTAAATGTTAATTAAATTAAATGTTCCTAGCAGAAAGCTTGTTTTTACATGAAATCCAATAGAAAAAAGTTACTTAACTGTTAACACAGCAGAATATTATCTTTAAGGGGAAGGTGGAAAGATATTGCAATAGCACTCAAAAGGGAGTTTTTAAAATAAATGTTCTCTGCCAACAGATGCAGAAAGACAAGATAACTAACGTAAGCACAGTGTTAAATCTTTTATGGGTAGGTGTACACCACTCACTAGCAAAGCGGTTAAAAAGAGACATTGTCAACCTGAAATCTAGTCAGTTAAAAAAGATGGTTGCTAATTGTCATTTTGCAACAACAATTCTTAAAGGAAATTCTCCTTTGCTGTGTGTAAGCTCAAACAGGGCAAACTGACTAATAACGCATAAAGCAAGCCAGCTGGGGAAAAAAGGAAACCTCTCTCTCTCATATCTTTCAGCTATAGCAATCTTAACTGTTACTTGTAATAGGTAAAAATTGTCAGACAGATGTGAATTTTACATTAACCATTTCTGTTTAAAGACTGAGCTACACAATTAACTGACTTGTCAGGCGCACATTTGCAGCATTCATCTGTGCGTGGAGATTATGTTTTGAGACTTTGAAACTGTCATGGCAATTGCACAGATGAAAACATTGTGTGCACCATTTACACTGCAATATTACAGTCTATTTGTAAAGAACTATCCATGATACGTAACTGCAAAGTAACGATTCCTAATCAACTAGTATGCCGTAGTCATCAGGGCTTCCTTACTTTTAAAGTGTTTCAGCCGTTAATAAACCTTACGCTTAATAATCCTGTGTTGGTGATCCAGTATAAAGTTGTGAGAGTTGTGTGTCCATACAGAGTAGTTCTACCATAATCAAATTCCTTGTCAGCTCAGAACACATTTCAGTGAAAAATAGTCACTACCTTAGTGACTTAAGAACTGTCCAAGTTTAATGAAATAACATCCTTATTAAAAAAATGGATCCTTTACCTTTCTGGGTTTTTTATTTCTTCTGTTACAAAATTAAGGGTATCCCAGCCTGAGTAAGAGAACAGAGCAGAATACAGTGCAAGAGAAATGTCTCCTAGGTCCCAAGAAGATCCCTCAAAGGAGTTCTGAAAGTGTCCTGAATGTCCTGTGTGTTGGGGAGAAATACATATATACATTATTGTATGACAGTAAGTAAAAATGTTTTTTAGTTTGATATACAAAGTTGAAAACAAGCCAAGAACTAGGAATTTTGACATTCCTTCAAGCTCACTCACTGACCCATCCTTCCATTCTGCCTGTTACAGCCTTGAGAATAAGCAGAGCACTTAATTTTATAAAAATTCGACTCTATGGGGAACTCAGAAAGCATTATTATTATGCAATAAATACCTGACCTGTTCACAGTAACAGCAGAGACAGAACTGAGGGACAGTGAAGTACAGGCTTGTAACCCAAAATACAGTTCAATCATAGTTGTAACAGCATTGGGGCAGTATCCTTTCAGCTCAAGCCAATGTATACAAATGAAATGATACAATTCTATGGGTCATACCATCTCTGATATTCTGAACCACTTTGTTTGTGTGTGCCAAAACTAAGCCTTGGGGGGGGGGGGGGGTTGGTAGGCAGGGATTACTCTTTACAAAATGCACGCAGATTGATAAAATTAGTCATTTATCCAAATGGATAAATACCTGTATTTAAATTTTGTTAAAGTTCTGATTTATTTGATGAGTTATAGTTACTTCATAGGTCCAGACTACTATCCATTACATTGTAAACATTTAAGTGCATACAAAAAGATGTGACGAGTCAATGAATATGTGCATATTAAGAGGTAGGCCAATTTAGTTTAAGCATCAAAAGGGCCAAATTGATAGCAATTAAGGGAACGTAAAAATTTAATTAAATAATAGTTGGGAGAAAATCTTCCCAAGTACACTTAAGTCTTGTGTGCTATCAATACTGTTGTGACTAATATCATTTACGTCACTCTTCAACTTGGAGTGATTTTTTTCCAACATGTGCTGACATTGTCAGCACAGTGGCAATACAATAGCAATATAAACAGTTTATAATATTGACTACAGGAAGTCGAGTTACTATCTTGTACATTCCAATGCCCAAATATATAGCTATAGTTCTAAACACCTTGTACTTTTTACAGCAATAGGCTGCTATTTGTAGGGTGGGAAAAGCAGTTTATAAGGCATTGCCAAGGTTGACCAGCCCAAATATTTGAGTCCTTTAATGTGTCACTGCATCTCTGTCCTCCTCAGTATCTTGGATGACACTGAGGAAGATGGAGCAACAGCCAAGTTAGGAGCAGGGAAGAAGGTAGGCAGCATCCAGGATGTTAGTGGTAAACATATTAAGGTCAATGGAGCAGCTGATGGTGCAGAGGTGTTTTGTACTGAAGAAGTGACACACTGTTCTCATAGAAGCACATTCTGTTCCATACCAGTCCAAGAATAAGGAAAGAACATGGGCTACAGTCCCTCAATAATGACTTCACTCTAAACACACAAAGTATAATTTGGGCTAAAGACACATTTTTCATATAATTTAAAATTGGGTTGTGTACTTTTTTAAGCCAATCAAGAAAGCTTCCAAAATACACAGGAGTAAAACTCAAAAAAAAAAGTGCGATGGAAAACATCTTTAAACTAAAATATTAAGACTAATAAGAAAAAGAACCAGCAATAAACTATTTAATGCTGAACAATAAAGAAGAGAAGTCAGGAACTAAGTAAGCTGGGCTGATACTCCTTCTATAGATGCAGTACAGTCACCTTCAGAGGCACACATCTAAGTGTATAGCTCCTTTTAAATGGCTTTGAGCCCATTCAGCTTCACAGACAAATATCTGTGAAGGCATACTTCTGAAGAGAAGTATTGCAATTGTACAGTTTTGTGTAACTGCACATTTTATCCAAAATCCAGACTACAAAAAGCTTAGATTGAGGTTCACTGAACCTAACAATATGATAGTATGATTTGTTTATTAGACGGAGAGATCATCTTTCTCTATTCATACAGTATTTTGCAAGTTCTCCATGTTGCTGCTTGCTCTTTCATTCCACTAACCGTTCCAAACCAGAGGGTGTAAAATTGCTTAGGTGTGTTAGGCCAATTCAAGTATGATCTTCATTCACAACATTGGCCACGTTGTTAGTATCTGGATGGATATGTTGGACCTTATTGCTTAATAGAGATATCTGGTATTACATAAATATAAATTTAACATTACAGATTAATTTAAAAATACTGTTTTGCAGCTACTATGGATATTCCTAATGAAAACCAAACTGATTATTCCCCAGCCTTATTGATACACACCAACCTCTAATTAGTTTTATAAGCTTACCCTGGCATAGTTTAACAATTCCTGTTATGATGATGACAATAAGGGCAATGACTTTAGCATACGTGAATACATCCTGCACCCTTGTTCCCCATTTAACACAGGCACAATTTATAAATGTTAGAAGACCTAGGAGACAAAAAAGGAAGATGAAAAGGAAGTTATGCATGATCTTTGTTAAGCACAGATTTTAATTACTGTCCATGTCAGTGTATAGATGCTAAATTTAAACTATGCTAAAATAAGCTTAAGAGCCTGGGAAAATTAAACTAAGGAATGTTTACTGGTACTCACAACGTATTGTCTTACTATTATGCATTGCTTAATTTATGACAAAAAAAACAAGACAGGGGAACATCAATTCTAAAGACATATTGGATTCTTTTTGCCAAGGACAGGAAGAAAGACCCTCCACCACATGTCAGACCTGCTGGGCCTGTTCCCATTTTCCTGGTTTTACCCCTCACTCTTGTGGCCCCGTTCTGCAACTATCATTCAAGCCAAAGGCCGCAGAGAATGTCCTCTCATTTTATGTTCTGGGTCACCTCAAAACTCCTTTAGACAGAAGTAAAAAATGGTAAGTTAATTATTTTGCCCTTTTCTTGGTAGCTTGAAGATTAGTTCAACATCCAAGATAATTTCACAGGTTTTATAGTCTTTAAAATATGAAATTTGGAAAGCCAACAGTTGAAAAAGACAAGGTTAGAACAGATCTGACCAATTAGCAGGGTAAGCTCCACAGATAAGGCAACATTTGACTGATGGAAAAAAATTTTAATTAAAACTGGTGTTAGTGTGATGAAAATGAAAATAAGGAGTCACCTTGGGGAACACAAATTCACATTCCTGTATAACAGTACTTTAAGATTGGTTTCAAAGAGTTGAGACCCTCTGGGTATAGACAATGTATTCTTTTACTTAAATTATGTAGAGATTACCATTTTATTTTCCTTCAGCATTAGCTATTCACAGACTGCTTAACTCTAGAGGATACTTTACAACATAAAGGCACATAATATTTGGACCACATTAAGTAATGTTGTCTAACCTGAGGTTATTTCCCAAATAGCTCAATAATAGCCCTATTTGACAACTTTAAAATAATTTGAAAACATTCAGTTCTGTCTCTTTGGGAATACACTCTCCCCCATCCCCGCCCCTGGTGAAATTAAAGGAATATGTTTAATCTCACAAGTATTCCAGCTAATTGTGTCTGGCTAAGCAGCAGTTCTGCAGAAAAGGACCTGGAGATTACAGTGGATGAGAAGCTGGATATGAGTCAGCAGTGTGCCCTCGTTGCCAAGAAGGCCAATGGCATATTGGGCTGTATTAGTAGGAGCATTGCCAGCAGATTGAGGGAAGTGATTATTCCCCTCTACTTGGCACTGGTGAGGCCACACCTGGAGTACTGCGTCCAGTTTTGGTCCCAGCACTACAGAAGGGATGTGCACAAACTGGAGAGAGAGTCCAGTGGAGGGCAACGAAAATGATTAGGGGGCTGGGGCACATGACTTACGAGGAGAAGCTGAGGGAACTGGGGTTATTTAGTCTGCAGAAGAGAAGAGTGAGGGGAGAATTGATAACAGCCTTCAACTACCTGAAGGGGGGTTCCAAAGAGGATGGAGCTCAGCTGTTCTCAGTGGTGGCAGATAACGGAACAAGGAGCAATGGTCTCAAGTTGCAGTGGGGGAGGCCTAGGTTGGATATTAGGAAACACTTTTTCACTAGGAGGATGATGAAGCACTGGAATGGGTTACCTAGGGAGGTGGTGGTGGAATCTCCATCCTTAGAGGTTTTTAAGGCCTGGCTTGACAAAGCCCTGGCTGGGATGATTTAGTGGGTTTTGGTCCTGCTTTGAGTAGGGGATTGGATAGATGACCTCCTGAGGTCTCTTCCAACCCTAATCATCCATGATTCTATGACTTTAGACTTGCTCATGTAACCAAATTTATCAGATCATCTCTCCTCTGATTGCGGTTGCTAGCACTACACTCAACAGTTCGCAGTATTGCTCTATTCTTGTGTTCATTTTTTCCTCAAATATTTTAAAATATTAAACAGCTCCTTCCCATCCTAAGTACCATCTGAATATTCAGGAATTATCTAACTGTATCTTCATTGTTTTTCTACAATTCAGATTAATTTTTGCACTATCCAGATTATAATTAATCTATTTCAATCCTGCATTTTGGGCACTTCCCCAGATGCAGATATTTGCACTAGCAAACAATATATGGTTAGTGAAATTCAATTGTATTTTACTAAGCTTTCTTACTGAAAAAACATGGTATTATAAGGGTATCTTAAACAATGTAGGCACATTGATTGATAAAGTGATGCAGTGGCAAACCAAAACTAACTAATATACAATGCAATTTTCTGGAATAAAGTTCCTTCTCTTATATAGTTTAAAGCTTGGTTAAAGAGCTACAACCCAACAAGGAAAAAAAAAGGGGCAGCACATGGAGATAGGAATGTACTTAGTCCAGTTACCCCATGGAAGAATAATAATTCAAAAATAAAAAACAAGGGTAATGATCCCATACAAGTGTGAGACTGGTGAACTTGAAAAGTTGGCAACTGAAAAGGATGAACCACATTTCCTTCAACTTGTCAAGACTGGGAAAAACAGAAGTATCAAATTTCGAAAACCATGACTGTAGCAGCTCCTGAGAAACACTCAGGGGAAAACAATTGGCATCAGATCTGCCTTCCAACATAAACAAACAGCTGTTTTTGTTACTCTATAATAAACAATACTTATGTGAACAGGATTTTTTATTCTAGCCAACAGTTTTTAGGTAGTGATTTTCCATATGCAAATGATTTTTTATGAAAAATTTTCCTATTGCAAAGATGTTAGAACATTTGGTCTCTGTTTTCATGACAATTTGATTGTGAAGTGCTGTCCTATCTCTGGAGTTTAAAAAATCTAATTAAGAATCTGGACAAATCAAACCATTTCATTTTTAGACTATGCTTTTTTCTGGTTACTAAGAGTATGTCTACACTTACCATGGATTGACACTGCAGCAATCGATCCACCGAGGGTCGATTTAGCGGGTCTAGTGAACACCCGCTAAATCGACTGCAGATTGCTCTTCTGTCGACTCCGGTACTCCACCAGAACGAGAAGCATAAGGTAAGTCGTCGGGAGAGTTTTTCCCATCGACCCAACGCAGTGTAGACACTGCAATAAGTCGACTTAAGCTACGTCGACTCCAGGTATGTTATTCATGTAGCTGGAGTTGTGTAACTTAGGTTGACTTCACTCTGCAGTGTAGACCTGCCCTAAGATTACTTCTATCAATTTTGTTGCAGCTGTTGTCAATTTGCTAGCTTATATTGATAGCATTGTAAAGTGTGCCTGTGCATTTTGAGATGATATCCCACGATAGTAAAGATTTCAGAAGTGAGTGGTAAAGTGTCACAACATTTGGAATTTTCAGGAAACAGATGATCTTGCAGTATATCAGCTAATAAACGATTTGTATTTGTTACTATGTATATTGGAAAACAAAATCTCCATTTTTGCACAGGAACTATCCCCAACAATGTTCAGACACACTGCTTATGTTGGTTTTCCTTAACAAGTTAGTACCCTTCACAGATTTTATTTGATTCTCAATTTTAGGTTGCAAACTGCTGCCAAGTAGCAAGGGAGGACTTCTGTAGTGACAGAGCTACATATAAAAGTAGTGCAGTGGGGTGAGTCCTAGCAAGGACGTCAAGTGGTTGAGGGCAGGATTTTAAAGTACACAACTGATTTCTAAACAAAGCTTTTCTGCAAAGGTTTCTCCCTGCTGCCATAACCGCAAAGGAGACTGATTTATGAAATTACCTCTCCTTCTCCAAGATAGACACATGTTAAGATCTAATGCTAAGTTAATCAAGCATGAATGCCATAGCCTCTTCAGCCAAAAACAATGTGTCTGTTTTTCTCTCATTTCTGTCTTTAACGTAAGAACAGTTATACTGGATCAGACCAATGATCCACATAGCCCAGTATCCAGTCCAGCCCAACCCAACAATAGCCAGTGCCAGATGCTTCAGAGGAAATGAACAGAACATGGCAATTTACCAAGTGATACATCTCCTGTCATCCAGTCCCAGCTTCTTGCAGGGAGAGGTTTCGGGAAACCCAATGCATGGGGCTGCATCCATGACCATCTTGGCTCATAGTCATTGATGGATCTATCCTTCATCAACTTATCTAATTCTTTTTGAACCAAGTTATACTTTTGGCCTTCACATCATCCCTGGGCAAAAAGTTCCACAGGGAGAACGTAGGTTGTGTGATCTACTTTCTTTTGTTTTGTTTGTTTTGTTTGTTTCTTTTAAATCTGCTACCTATTAATTTCATTGGGTGACCCTTGGTTTGTGTGTTATGTGAATGGGTAAATAACACTTCCTTATTCACTTTCTCCAGATCATTCATGATTTTATAGACCTCTATCATATCTCTCCCCTTAGTCATCTCTTTTCTAAGCTGATCAGTCCCAGTCTTTTTAATCTCTCCTCCAATGGAAGCTCTTCTTTACCACTTAGAATGTTTGTTGCCCTTTTCCAATTGTAATATATCTTTTTGAGATGGGGAGATCAGAACTGCATACAGCATTCAAGGTGTGGTCTTACCATGGATTTAGAAAATATCACAATGCCACTATAATTCTTATCTATCCCTTTCCTAATGGTTCCCAACATTGTTAGTTATTTTGTCTGCTGCTGCACCAGAGCTGAATTTCATCTGCCATTGTGTTGCCCAGTCATTCAGTTTGGTAAGATCCCTTTGTAACTCTTCGTAATCAGTTTGGACTCAACTATCTTGAATAATTTTGTATCATCTGAAAATTTTGCAACCTCACATGCTTTCCAGATTATTTATGAATAGGCTGAACACCCTAAATCCTTGGCAGACCTTGCTATTTACCGCTCTCCATTATGAAAATAGACTGTTTCCTATCTTTTAACCAGTTACTGATCCATGAGATCAGTTTCCTTATTGTACAAAAGGGGATTTTCAACTATCAGAGCCTTATAAAAAACATGTAATTTATAATCGTAGGCACAAAAGGTATTTTCTCATCTGTATGAGAAGGAAAGATTAGTGAAACTTTACTAACCTACCCATGGTGGATAAACATTTTTTTTTTAAATCAAAAAGTTGGATTTTTAAATTTAAATTTGAAGTCACTGGCTAAGTACTAAACCAGCTTTTGACAGCAATAGCCTCTTCTGCAGGCGCTGAGAGAATATTTTCTTCATTTAAACCAGTTCAGTTGAATAACTAGAGTTCAATCAAAGTTGAGAAACTGTTTGGAAGTTGAAAAAGCTTGTTTTTCACTTCCAAATCTATAAATAAAAACAATGAGGATGAGATCTACTAGTTCTAAAATCTTGAAGGACCTGGTGACCAAAAACAATCAGCCCAATTCATTAAGTACAGCTAATACTTTGTTTTATTAAATAGTTTTAAATGAGAAATATGCTGTGATTATTTTTCTTGTGTATCCACCACACTTCAGATAATTTTATTTAATAACAATTTGAAAATGCTGATCGTGCATTTTTAATTTAATGTCAATGTCTTCTAAATGCAGCTAGACAAATCACAAACAATTGATCACTCTGTAATAAATAAATGTCATTCATCTAAAAAAGTGTAAAAATTAAGAATCGGAAAAAATGTATATTAAGATATAGAATTGCAAAAAGTTAGCAAAAAGTACCAAAATTAGTATAAATTTAGTATTAATAAAGACTATATTTAGTTGCAAAACACCATGTTTTAACAGTTATACCAATCAACAAGAATCAATTTTTCTTTAGGAAAATAACTGAAAAGTATAAATGCAAAACTAGATTAAAAATCCATTATTTTAATCAAGTTTCCCTGTTTACGGATTTAAATAATTATAAAAACCACCTTGATTTAAATCAATTCACCCAGCACCCAACTCAAAAAAAAAAAAAAGTTAACTTGAGTCCCAAAAGATAGGCCTCTGTCAATAAAGCTATTCCCTGAAAGTGAAGTTTATAAGTGAATAGTGTGTGTTTGAAAGCACACAAGATTTCTAATAAGAAATTGAGTTTTCTGGAAGTCATGGAGGGAGGCAGAGAAAGAGAGAGAAAATTACATAAACCTAGCCTTTCTGTTTAAAGATGCCACTGCTAAATTCTGCCAGCCATAATTAAAAATTCCTCCAAGAAGAATTAGGACTTGAGCTAAATTTTAGCTAAGAGTGAAAGATCTTGCCTTTAAGATGTCAAAATATCCTTGTCATGCAAATCCAATCTATGTTGATTACCTGGAAACCATTTCCTTTCCTTACTCTAACTCAGGCATCGGCAACCTTTGGCATGCGGCTCGCCAGGGTAAGCACCCTGGCGAGCCGGGCCGGTTTGTTTACCTGCCACATCTGCAGATTCGGCCGATTGCGGCTCCCACTGGCCACAGTTCGCTCGCTCCAGGCCAATGGGGGCGGCGGCCAACACATCCCTCAGCCCGCGCCACTTCCCGCCGCCCCCATTGGCCTGGAGCGGCAAACCGCGACCAGTGGGAGCCGCAAGCGGCCGAACCTGCGGACGTGGCAGGTAAACAAACCGGCCTGGCCCGCCAGGGTGCTTACCCTGGCGAGCTGCGTTCCAAAGGTTGCCGATCCCTGCTCTAACTCAAACCATTCTAGATTCAGAATGCTACAGTTCTGGAATCTAAACAGGACTATATGTAAGAGATGTTCACGGTCAAGATAATAATCGTATTAGTTGTCACATAATACTTACATATACAAGCAGCTGCGATGAGACGACAGGCAACATAAGGAGGCTCACAAGAAGGGAAGACAGGCTGCACAATGTAGTTAGCAAAGGTTATTGCAATAATTGCCTGACTAGTTGGCTCAACAATTAATAATGAGGTCCATAAGCGAATAAAAGCAACAAAGCTCCCAAAGGCCTCCAAGATATATGCATAGCTGGCTCCTGACTTGATAATAGTGGTTCCCAGTTCAGCATAGCAGAGTGCTCCAAACACTGAAAAAATCCCCCCGGTTGCCCAGATTATTAGCGACAATCCATAGGAGGCACTGTAGATGAGAACTCCTTTAGGTGACACAAAGATACCTGAACCAATCATGTTGCCTACAATGAGGCTGATTCCATTAAGCAAAGAGATTTCTTTCTTCAGCTGCATTGTTTCTTTGTTTCTTTCATACATTTCACAGCTGTCACTTGAATCTGGCTTGCCCGCTTCCTTGATGGGAGAGTATTCAGCCAGTGAGTTATGAGCCACTGTACCATTTGCCCTTTCTTCCATTGTGGAATGCTTGTGTATTCTCTATAACACCAATCCCAATCTAAAACAAAATTACAGACAGCTAAAAATTAATAACATCAATAACTTTTTGTCTAACCCGTCACATCAATTCTTCTTTCTATTTGGAGCATAGGACTGACCTGTGTAACCTCCTCTTGTGTAATATCCCTCTTTTGCTACCTTGTGCTATGTGATTTGGATGGTAAAACATGACATTTGAACAAGTGACAGTCTCAAAATATCTTGGAAGAAAAAGGTGAAAAGAAAAATACATGGTGCTGATTTGCCAGGGGGGAAGTTGTGGGGAAGCACAGAGCAGAGAAAATTCAAAGGTCATTGACACCTGTCAGTTGAATTGGAAAGATCAAAAGGGGTAATGGAGGTGTATAAGGAAAGAGAAAGCATAGTATAAGAAAGAATAGAAGGTGGAAGTAGTGAAGATGACAGGTTTATTGCAATATAAAAAAAACACATTTCAATAAGTTTCATTCTTTCCTCTTCCATAAGTGATTGTTTTTAAAAGCACCCAAGAATACAGAAGTGGAAAAAGTGTGGATAAAGTTTCTGAATGGGTTCACATTTATTTTCCGGGACTTCAGAGACTTACGTCTCAAGTCTCCAGAGGATCTTACCCCCTCCCTCCGTCTTATAAAGGATCACTGCTGGCCTCAACACTTAGACATAAGATGATACCAATATCAACAATTCTGAAATACAGACACAATATAGAAGTTTAGAGATGAAAAAATCTGATTAAATACAAATGGATTTTCAATTTGCATTGACACTAGCTTTCATTCAAAATCTAACTTCTGATTGGATTATCAGGAGTTTCATAAGAGTGAGCCTACATCTTTCCTAAAAATGTGCTATCATTTTCGTATGTCTTTGCCAAGCACTAAATCCTGAGTGCACATTTCAGGGGCCTACTGCAGAGCAGAAAGATGCAAGTCTGGGTGAGATTTGGCAAAGCAGTTGCTCTAGCAGAGAAAGCAACTAGTTTATCTTGGATTATATTTTCTTTATAACAGAAACTTAATTAGGGGTATTTCATTCCAAAATTCAACTTTTTATCTTGAAATTGATCCTGGCACTAACCTAGTAAAGAGGGAAAAGGCACATACAAAGTATTTATGGTCTGATTTTCAGTAGGTCCAACATATAATTATGCACACAATTCAGGTACTTGTGCCTGAAATTAATTAATAGATGCATCTACCTGGGCATACAAGTATAAACACACTTGTCCACGTATTTATGGTAATTTGCACTCACTTTCTGTTCATGCAGTTATAGATCCTTCCTTTTGAAAAAAATCAAATCCTTACTTTGTTATATTGTCAACATTATATTCTAAAATGTAAGTTAATTAAAACATTCTGAGCTAATATACTTAGAACATGTTCTTACTCTTTCAAGCCATTTTAAATATTTTAAACCAAATAAATATGTAACCTACACGGAAATGGAATGTAAGCCATTTACTAGAATGGAATATAGCCCGTTCACATTATGTCCAGTATGAGCCTTCTATCTCTTTGCATAAAAGAAAAAAAAAGAAAAATTCAGTAAGTATCCAAAAATAGTATTTTTTACATAAATTAAAATATTGACTGCATTTGAAAGACTATTATATTATCAGATAGGTCTGCTGTATTATTGCAAATCCTCCCTTAAGGCTTTTTTAAAAATTTAAAATATTTGTTTAAAATGTTAAACTTTTATTCTGTCAGAGCAAACAGTAATGGCATAACACAGTCAAACTCAGTCATATTTGGAAAAGTCATCCCACACAGAAACATCTGTATGACAGAATATACCATCACAAGTAAAAGAAAAGAGCTTTGGGGAAAAAAATTATTAAAAAAAAATGGATTTATTCTCCCCAAATGTTAAGGGTTCTGAAAGGTTCAGGCTTTCCCTCTTTCCCCATAGTTATCTGGCATTTATTGTCAGAGGAAAAAGGCCCAACCAGAAAATAGGTCATGGAAAATTTGCTCCAATATAGCCACACACTCACAGCATGGTAGAACATAGCCTCTTCCCTCACTGAAACCTAGGAAGGGAAGGCAAAGTTAGGTCTGTTTATTTCCTTTTAGCAGGGAGTGAGAAAGAATCTAAGGCCCTAAATCATACCAGCTCTTCTACATTCCTGTCAGTGCTGTAAAAACTATTTGGCGAGACGATGTTGACATTCAAGGATGTTATTTGCTAGTGAAGATATCGGTAAAAGCTTTCCTGATTGAGAGAGCCTACCGAGTCTTGAGGAGCTAATTCTTCTTTAATTATAAAGCACTATGGAGGTGGATTTGTTTAGTCTAAGTAACTTCATGTATGCTAGTTTAATAAGCAGTCCTATATTTGGAAAACTTCTCTATCCTCTTTTATCCCACCAAGAAGCCCAGCTCACTGGAGAAATGACTAGCTGATGCCAAGCTTAAAGTAAGTTTCTGAGGGAATTCACATACACATAGCAAGAACTTCCATCACTACAATAAATCAACATCAGTAGTCTCTTTTGACAGCCAAGTCAGTACAAACTAAAATTTCATACAGATAATGACTTGTTTAAACTGGTCTATATACTATACACTGAAATGTAAATACAATATTTATATTCCAATTGATTTATTTTGTAATTATATGGAAAAATTAGAAAGTAAGCAATTTTTCAGTAATAGGAGACTGTGACACTTTTGTATTTTTATGTCTGATTTCGTAAGTACATAGTTTTTAAGTAAGGTGAAAATTGGGGTATGCAAAACAAATCAGACTCCTGAAAGGGGTACAATAGTCTGCAAAGGTTGAGAGGCGCTGTTCTAACTCAATGCGGATACTGAAACCATTGCTAGGACATCTATAAATGCTATTTTGAAAATATTGGGTATTTATTCTTAGTTTTGTAGTCAAGTTATAAAATAGTACAATATTTTAAAGCCCCCATTTACACTAAGAAACAAGATATGTGCAGCAAGAACTTATCTTAAACACAATTTCAGGAAATATTTGCAGTGTTTAAGGTATTCTTACACTGGCCAGTATAACTGCTTCTATTGAAACAGCTTTCAAAACATGGCCTGTTTCATTGTGTAGACAGAGTCTTAGTGACTCAACAAACATTTTGATGAACTTATTCACACACAAAACCTAATCCTGCGGAAAGATAGTGGATTTAGACTTTCTGTACCAACTCAGAACAAAAGCCACACGAGTTTGTGCGCAAATGCTAATCCCAGAGACATATTTAAATAGCTGGAAACCCCTGGTCCAGCCACAGTTCAAATCCCTTCATTTGCCCTTGCCACCACCACAAACTTAAGCTCCTTGCCTACAAGATCCTACACAACTTAGCTTCTCTGTTTTTATCTATTTCCATGCTCTCCCTTGCTCAAGACAACTGCCACAATGTCCTCTCACTCTAGTCTACATTTTCCCATATAGCCCTTTATGTGGAGAATCTCACATTGACAGTCTGCTCCCCACCTTCAAGCTCCTCCTGAAGTCACAATTGTAAGTGTTTACTAAATGGTAAATATTGCAGAAAATGTGGTATTAATACATGCACATAACAGTTCACTCAGTTAGATACAAGCTATCCTCTAGTCTTATTTTATACTGTCAGTTATGACCGGCAGACCTTGAGGGCAGGGACTGCTTGTTTGTCTATATAAATATCTAGAATGCTACAGATAGTGTCTCTACAAACACTACACCTAATCTTAACTGGCACCAAACTTATCAGTCTCCATGTAACCAAAGAGGAAGAGTGTAGAATATGGAAAAATATTAGTGAACAAAACTGAAGCTGTGTCAAAGTTAGAAAAACACATTCTGAGAACAGAAAAAACTAAAACCCAGATTTCTGCCTGAGGCCATTATTAGGCAGAGAAAATAGAAGGCTGGGAGAGAAGGAGGAGACAAAGGTGCAGTGAGGTGTTTTCTAGTGCATAACAATTCCAGGTTCATACTCCCCAGCATGCCCATTTAGCTCCATGCCATATACCACCAGCATGTCAGTGGCACAATGTTGTTTTATTGCTGAATGTTATTACTCTCAAATGACCTTCTAATAATACCTTTAAAATCACTTTGGTATCCTAAAGGCCACCAAGCAGGATACCTCAGTGGGAACCCCAGACATGGAATTTTATTTCCTACAGAATTTTAAGAGGCTGGATGTAAGGAAATATTTAAAAGTAAGGAGTAAGATCTTTCCCCAGTGGAAGTCTATTTGTGTGGCTCCTGCTTTGTAGATAAATCCATGGTAGTTTACAACATATTACAACACTACCAAAAGACCCATGAACTTCAGTTAACTACAATTCAAAGAAAGGTTAGGGGATGCTAACATTAAGTCCCCTGGGGTCAGGATCCCTAACTCTCTTCCAGAGCCAGGATGGGAGCCACTTCCTCTTCTCTCTCTCCGGAGGTGGATTGGGTTACTGCGCCTGACCAGTCACTGTTAGATCCCTCCGCAGCCGATGCCTCCCTTCCTGCCCACAGGTATGCAATTAGCGCTGTTAAAAAATTAACACGTTAATTTTGTCTTCAGTTAATCAAAGGCATTAACAGCGATTAATTGACAACCCTAGTTGAAACTATGGTAAAGAACGGAATTATCAGACATTGATGAACACAATATGGTGGGGAAGAGTCAACATGGTTTCTGCAAAGGGAAATCATGCCTCACCGATCTATTAGAATTTTTTGAGGGGGTCAACAAACAGGTGGACAAGGGGGATCCAGTGAATATAATGTACTTGGACTTTCAGAAAGCTTTGACAAGGTCCCTCACCAAAGGCTCTTAAGCAGTCATGGGATAAGAGGGAAGATCCTCTCATGGATCAGTAACTGGTTAAAACATAGGAAACAAAAGGCAGGAATAAATGGTCAGTCTTCCTAATGGAGAGAAGTAAAGTGCTGGGTTCCCCAAGGATCGGTAATGCGACCTGTGTTGTTCAACATATACATAAATGGTCTGGAAAAAGGGGTAAAACAGCAAGGTGGCAAAGTTTGCAGACTATATAAAATCACTCAAGATACTTCAATCTGAAGCAGACCGCAAAGAGTTACAAAGGGATCTCACCAAACTGAGTGACCAGGCAACAAAATGGCAGATGAAATTCAATAATGATAAATGCAAAGTAATGCACATTGGAAAAAAATCCCAACTACTCATAGAAAAGAGAAAGATATTGGAGTCATCGCGGACAGTTCTCTGAAAACTTCTGCCCAATTTGCAGCGGCAGTCAAAAAAGCTAACAGAATGTTAGGAACCATTAGGAAAGGGATAGATAATAAGACAGAAAGTATCATAATGTCACTATATAAATCTATGGTATGCTCACATCTTGAATATTGCATGCAAATCTGGTCGCCCTATCTCAAAAAAGATATATTGGAATTGGAAAAGGTACAGAAAAGGGCAACAAAAATGATTGGGGTATGGTACAGCTTCCAAATGAGGAGAGATTAATAAAGCTGGGACTTTTCAACTTGGAAAAGAGATGACTAATGGGGAATATGATAGAGGTCTATAAAATCATGAATGGTGGGGAGAAAATGTTTTTTACCCATTCACATAACACACAAACCAGGGGTCACCCAATGAAATTAATGTGCAGCAGGTTTAAAACAAAGATAAGCAAGCACTTCTTCAGACAACGCAGTCAACCTGAAGAACTCATGAATACATGAGTAAAAAGGTTTGAGGCAATACTAAGGTCCATTAAAAGCAGAATTTTTTAAAACTATCTTCGATATGAAATTAATTTCAGGTTATTATATAAACGGTATGCTACCAAACTGGATTTTTAAAAAAAAGTCAGTTAATAAAAATCCAATTGTCCTTTCTATCAAGGTTCTGATAACAGCATTCATCACCCTTGTTATATGCGAGCAGTCAAATAGAACAACCCATATGGCTAAAGCAGTGGTTCCCAAACTTTAACAACCTGTGAACCCCTTTCACTAAAATGTCAAGTCTCGCGAACCCCCTCCTAAAAATGAATATTTCCAGGGATTTTCTCCTTTACCTGAGTATAAATTATAAGAGCAGTGATCTTGGAAATATAAAATTTGTTTTTATGACATGCTTATTACACACTATTATTAATTATTATTTATCATTACAGTATTTTTATTACATTATGAAAATGGCAACACTCTTCCAAGATCTCACTTTCATAGCTTGTATCACTTTGAATAAGTCTGTTATAAGAGAAGGCTCCTATGTTTCATCAAGGAATATCAGATGTGAAACAGCATGAAGGTATTTAACAAGACAACTCAAAGAGTTCCTCCTACACAAGCATTCAGGACTTGAGTAGTTCAGGCAAACAACGCACGTTACAACAAAGCTTAAACTTGTTCTTCATAATAATTTTAAAAACAATACTAGGTGCGTATTTAATTTTAAAACCATCAAAAAAATATCCACCATCCTTTCCATTTTTTATAAGGAGTCTTGAAGTTTAAATCTCCTCAGTGTGATAGATATGCTTGCTTTGATCTGCTTAGCTCTTGGAAGTCCAGGGGCTCCGGACTGCTGGCCCCGGGGGCTGCCCGGGGTCCCTAGGGACAACTCTGTCTGCCATTAGGGAATTTTTTCCTGAGAACCCCCTGTAACATTTTGCGAACCCCCAGGGGTTGGAGTTTGGGAACCACTGGGCTAAAGAGAAGACAAATTTTAACTTCAATAAGCATAAGAAAGACATAATGGTAGTTTCATAACTAAAATGGCTGGGAATTTACACACAGACTTATTACTGGTTGTGACACACCAGAAAATTATAATGCCTGGTAACTGCATTAGAGGAAGAACCGTATCTACAGACATTCACTGTAATTTGAGTCCTTTCACTACCACAGCAACAGGGTTACGTCTATGAGCTTCACCTCAATTCTCTGTAAGATCTTTGTCGCATCTCTCCTTACTAATAATCAGAAGTTGCAAGAGATTTGAGATGTTCTAAAGAGAAGCCAACTGAAGCTATGTCTACAATGTGCACTTTACAATGGTGCGGCTGTGCCGCTACAGCCATGCCATTGTAAGGCCTGCAGTGTAGCTGCTCTTTGTCACTGGGAGAAAGGTCACCCAACAACAAAATAAAACCACCCCCAACGAGGGGTGGTAGTTTTGTCGGCAGGAGAGCATCCACACCAGCATTTTTTGTTGTTAAAACGTTTGTCTTAACAAAAGTGCAATATAGATAAGGGCTAAGTGCTGTAACACCCTGAGTACAGTAGAGGGTCCCTTAAATTGACCAACTCTGTGTTCCACATTTTAAGGAGACCTAAAATTCTTCAATTTCAGTTTAAAAAATAAATCAGACTTAAAGGCACTTAAGCGTCTGGTAAGCTCCAGAGAGCAGGGGATGGGTCTTACTCATCTGTGTAATTGTAAATACTTACAGCGATATAACATACCTACTTACAGATCCCCAAGACTACCACAGGCCTCTCACACCATACTTTAAACCTGCTATAGATACACCTGGCTGAGAGCCCAAGCAGACGCTGACAAGCTCTCAGAAATAATGAATAAATAATAATAATAATCAAAACTCCGACACGTGGCTCTCGGAGGAGTCATCTTGAGGTGCCTGGAAGCCGGCTAAGCTCTGAATGAAGCACTTGTCCAGCCACAGAGCCTCAAATCCTGCAGCACCCGAGCAAGGCGTCAGCGACCCAGCAGAGCTCAGATGGGGAAAAGGGGGGTACATGGGGCGGGCGGTGATGGTCTCTGAAGCTCAGGACTGGGCGCCGGATTTTCCTCTCTTTCCTCAGCGCCTCGCCCCGCAGCTACAAGAGGGGGGGGAGGGCGGGCGGCCGGTTCCTCGCGGCTGCGGGGGATGCGCTGCCCGATACCGGCACCGGGGGGTCCCCGCGCGCCTCGTTACACTGGGGGCACTGGCAGGAGACGGCCGCGGAACCTGAACCGACCCAGCCAGACTCCCGCAGCCCCCCGGCAGCCCGGCCACAGCGCTGCGGCATGGGCTGGCTCCCTCCGCCCGTCTCACCGGCGCTCCCCGCCCCGGCCCCTTCCCTGAGGAGAGTTTTACCCCTCCCGGGGCCCGGCTCCCGCAGCAGCCCCCGTTACCTTTCCTGCTCCCCGCCGTTACCGCCCCGCTCGCCGCAGCTCGGGGGATGCTCGCAGCCCGCCCGGCCTCTGCGGAGCAGCACGTGATGCCCGGCCCGCTCCGCCCTGGAGGGG